AAGGCTTCATCAGTCAAGGAAACACACAACACAAAACCGATTCTTCCCCCAGTTTTGTGTTGTGTGTTTCCTTGACTGATGAAGAAACTATCCAGATGACCCGACTGAAAATTGTTGGATTGTATACCTGGATTATTGAGAAATGACTGTTTTGGTAAAGGCCACACTGTACGTTAATAGTGGACAAAGCAATCAAAACAGCAACACAAATTTAAAAACCCTTACAGCACAGAAGCAGCCAAGAAAAAACTCTGAGCTTCCAACTTAGTTGAATATGAACAATTTTAGAGACAATATTGAGAAAGAAAAAGTGTGCAGTGCTTATACGGATATTCCCAAAAGGGCTTGAAGCTATATGCTACCAAAAATGTTTTAACAAGGTACTAAAAAAAGATGTGACTACTCTTTTTTATATATATAAATACACAACCCATAACTAATTATTGGTCTCTAAGGCAATAATGATGGCTGATAGTGTACATTTATTATATTTTAACAATGAATAAGATGGCTTAGGATTACCATACCATGTTTTCTCTTAAGAACCTATTACCTACAGTATGTACACTTCTCAAACTAAATGCCGTGAATAGTTAAGTGAACCTCCATTGTTTTAATAGTTGTTTTTTTTTTATATGTGTTCAGCCATTAGTTCAGATCAGCTGTTTACAAATATAAGTTATTTACCCATTGAATCTACAGTAACATAAAAAAGTGACAACAGAGAATGAGAACATCAGCTATTTTTACATTTATTAGGTTTGGCAGCAACAGCGAAACCATAGCCTTTGACAAAATTTGAACATAAAAAAATAGATATTGTGTAACAAACTCACTTTCTACTCAAAACATCAGCAGCATATAGTGGTCGATTTACGCAAATGGGTACAATACTTGGATAAATCTTTTGATTTATTTCGTTTTGATGAGTGGTGTGGAGTTACAGCAGAGTAAAAACATTTACACACACTTTACATACAGTATTATATACAGTATATTCTGTAAAGACTTATTGACAAATATTTATAAATAAATATCTATTATCTAAACTCTTAGGTAAAAGTTTGTATGAATGCACTTAAAAGTAACAAGACACTTTTTTTATTTCCTACCACTTCATCATGGTTAGTGCAATGCAGACACAAACTATTTATTTTATATATTCATTACGTGGCTCTGGGATTTTTTAAATCTGTGTTAAGACACCCAGGTAATATGACAAAAATTCTACTTTTACTAATATTTGTGCAACTTCAGACCAATAACAGCAATCTGAGGGTTTAGGATAAGGAAAGCTGGTGTATTTCCAAGTCTAAATTTATTATAACAAGAGAGTCACTTTAAGTTATGTTATTACAAAATGTTCCTTTTTTGTTATATGATGTTTATTACCACACTGTCAAGATTATACAGGACAGACCAGCACATCTGCTATAAATTTTACATACCATCTCACTGCACCATGCTAAAAAGAAGCACCAAAACACATCCTATTGGGGGGAAAAACAATTACAAATTGAGTATTGATTATGCAGTGCTTCCCATCTGTTATTAATAATAAGCATCGTGGCACTGAAGGGAATCTTTAAGACAAATTTGCCGTGACTTGTCCTACAGACAAAGACATCAGAAAGAAAACAAAACCACTTGAAGAAAAAAAGACAGATCAACAAAATAACTAAAATGACTTTTTGTTCAAGTGGACATAACTGAAGATAGCACAAAATTAGTGAAAGGAAAATCCAATAACCCTTAAAAGGGGACAGTGTGACAAAGTATGTTTATGCGTTTGGAAAGAGTTTTTAAAAACGCGGCATGTCTTTGTCATCCTAATTACTTCAACATTTTTCCTCTACAAAACACATTTTTAGGCACATACAAAGAGTGCATTAAAGCTGCATATAGCAATGCTTTCCAAGCAGCACAGAATCAATTCATGATTATCTTTAATACGAAGGCAGTGGTTTACGTAAGTAAACCAAAATACTTATTTTTTTCTACTGTGAATCTTGGCTTTAAAAACAACACTACCATTACATTCAAAAGGGGGGACGAGGATTTAACTGGAATGTTCACATAGTTCATGTCTACCTGAAAACAGATTTCTATTTAATTAAAATAAAAATATATAAGCAGAAGGCTGAAACCTGCTGTCCGTAGGAGGTCAAAATAAAGTAGTTTTAAAATAAGGGAAAACTCACACAAAGTGCTGTTAAACAGCAAAAAAATGGAGATCGAACAATTTTAATATCAAAAGGCTAGATCTCCTGTTGCTTTGTCTGAACTGACTTTTTTGGAACAGACCTTACCTGCAGGGTCAAAACAACAACTATGGACACACACATACACACAATGTGTGTGTGTGTGTCTATATATATATATATATATATATATATATATATATATATACACACACACACACACACGTGTATAAATTTATTAGGAATGCACAATATTGTATTTTTGTCCGATATCTGATATGCTGATATGTTAAAACTTATTTGCCCGACAACGGATACCAACACCGATATTTTTTCCATAGACCAACTTACGGAGACTACATAGCTTTCTCTGCTGTGGATATTAAATACCACATCATTCTGCATGGTCTTTGTCAGTTTGATCTGCTACCAAATGCAGATATCAAAAAGGGGGCTGATAATAGTATAACACTTCAACTTGGATTATGTTTAATGTCAAATTTATTCATGACATTTCCTCTCTCTAACACAATAACAACACTCGAACAGGGCAAATTTGTCAATTTTCACAAATCTAAACTCAACGGTGCGCGCGATGTCATAACGCTGCGCTGAAGCTGCAGGCATCCTTGTCACTGGACTGTCATACAGCGAAAACAGCGCCTTTATATATATATATATAAACAGCACTTTTTATATCGGTGAGTTATTTTGATGGAGTGGTTGCCGATGTCCGATATTTAACTTTATCTCTAATATCGGCCAATATCGATATCATGCCAA